AAACATGCCAATTGCAGTCACACATACGCAGGATCCTGACAGGATGAACTGGAGGAAAAGGAATTGCAGCACAGCCAGACCCTGGTGGAGGTTATTCTCCCTCTATCATGCACATGCCCACACCCTCTGGCATAAACAATATTAGTAGGAGGTTTTTTTATTTTTTTCAATAAAGCAACACATGCACATGTGGAGAAAGTAAATTTGTATCCTACAGATTGTGTGTGTTCACCAGAGAAGAGACAGAGGGAGAGAGAGGGGTAAAGTGAAAAAATCACCCACGGGGGGTGGGGGTGGGGGTGGGGGAGGGATGGCTGTGTCACAATCCCTTCTTTCCATTCTTCTCTCAGGATTTTGGGCACACATGCACCTAGTGTTTTTTTCAATCCGCCAGGTCAAGGACTCAAACCGTACAGTTGGCCATGTAGGTTCCAGTGCCTTGCTACCTACTGGCCCCCAGGCTGGCCTTTAAAGTGTCTCCCCACGAGGGGCTGGCAGGTGGCATAGTGGTTAAGGGTGCTAGACTCCCACATGGCCAACCATGGTTCAAGTTCCAGACCTGGAGGCTTGCTTTCTCTCTCATTCTTGCTCTCACTCTGTCCTTCTCTGGTCAAATTAAAATAAATGAATAAAAATAAATCACTTTCTAAGAAAAAAAGTGTCTCCCCACTGTACTTTCTACTCATGACTTTTTTTTTTTTTTTTGCTATAGGGCACCTATGCTCACCAGAGATAGAGGGGGGCAAGTGAGAAATCACTTTCTGCAAGGATGGCCACACCGCAATCCCTTTTCATCTCTTGGGATTTTGGGCACACACACAAATGCATCTGGTATAATTTTCACACTGCTAGGTCTGGGACTCAAACCATGGAATCAGCCATGTGGAAACCAGCACCCGAGCCTCTACACCATCTGCCAGCTCTGAGAGGTAATAGTATCTTGGCTCTCTTCATGCAGGTCTACATATGTGGTGGGTTTAACGGAAACGAGTGCCTGTTTACAGCAGAAGTGTACAACACTGAGAGTAATCAGTGGACAGTCATAGCACCCATGAGAAGCAGGAGAAGTGGAATAGGTGTGATTGCTTACGGAGAACATGTATATGCGGTAAGTCTCTTGTACAACAGAAATGATACCCCGGACTTCCTACTGGCACACAGGTCTATGCTGCCACTGGGAAGCACTTGGGAAGCTTTTCTTCCTGGATATAATGAGAGGGGATTGGTATGAACTCACTGGTTCCCCCTAAAGAGGGATTCCTAATGAACACAAGCAATGGTTAGCTGTCGACTGGCTTTTATTATTTTTTTCAAAGTTTTAAAATTTTATTCACAAAAGCATGTGCATGAGACAGAAGTACCTCTGATAGGGTGTTGTCATGCCACCATCCCTTCTCCAGCCCTCCAGCTCATTAAGATGTTGAGCACACATGCATGCACCTAGTGTTTTCAGGCTGACTTGGCACTCTAAACCTGCAGTTGGCCGTGTGGCTTCCAACTGAACCACCAGGCTGGGCCAACCCTGTTTTTTTTGCCACCCACAGGTAGGCGGCTTTGATGGAGCTAACCGACTTAGGAGTGCAGAAGCCTACAGCCCAGTAGCTAATACTTGGCGCACGATCCCCACTATGTTCAATCCTCGTAGCAATTTTGGCATTGAGGTGGTGGACGACCTCTTATTTGTGGTGGGTGGCTTTAATGGCTTTACCACCACCTTTAACGTCGAGTGCTACGACGAGAAGACCGACGAGTGGTATGACGCTCATGACATGAGCATCTACCGCAGTGCCCTGAGCTGCTGTGTGGTACCAGGGCTGGCCAATGTTGGGGAATACGCAGCTCGGCGGGACAACTTCACAGGACTAGCGCTGCGGGACGAAGTAAAGTATTCTGCCTCGACAAGTACCCTACCTGTATGAGCCTCTTCATTTAGCTAATAAAAAGTCTAAGCAGTAAGAATTAATTCTTTTTTTAAATAAATGCAGTGTTTAAACTTGTAAGAGTACTGGAAAATGTTCAACTTAAGGGAGCCCAGGGTTGGATGAATAAGGGAGTAGGCGGAAGGAAGAAAGCAATTATATTCAACAGTACACAATTAAAGGGAAAAAAAAAACACAGAAGCCAGCTCTACAGAAATATGTTTATTCAAAACTTACAGTGAGACGATTAGTAGCTTTAACACAGGACAAGATAGCTTCAGGAACATAAAACAAACTTTTACAATGGAATGTCTCAAAGTGTTCTAAATACTCCCTCTCTCCTCTGACTGAAGGGAGAGTCAAAAGTATGCTTTCAGTAGAGTAGGAATCTGGATACTGTTAGCCCCAAAACCTCACTGTATCAATCAAACTAATGATTTATTTTACAAATAACTCGATGAACCCTAGCACATGGATGGTAAAGTGTTCAAATACCTAGCAAGCGCTACTTTTCACAAGTGACTGCGGCAGGAGGATTATGTTCACAAGTGCTCAACGTATGTGCTTCCGCGTAAGACAGTGGAGTAATGATCAGAGTAAGAGGAAAGCCCTAGGAAGGCGATCAACACGGAGCAGAAATCTGGGAACCGATTAAATTCCCTGAAGCAAAATGAGTACTATATTATGTCACTGTTACTATGTATTACATCACGCAACTATGAGCTGTTTCGTTTCTACTGACCAGGACATGTGTTATAATGTCAGCATCATAACAAAATAAAAGTGGACAATTCTCAAGAAAGCAACAAAATGTGCCAAAATGGTTGAAGGTTAAGGAGACTAAATGGTTTCTCAAATATTCTAGTTAAAGCACCCTATTTTTCAAGTGTAGGCAGAGTACTTGTTTCACAATACTGTATACGTTCTAAGACAAAATGAGGCCAATATACCCTTTTATTTAAGCTTAGTTTGAGGGCAGTATTTTTTTAGAAAGTCCCTTTAGTTATGTTTGATTAGGCCACATAACAAAAACACACAATTCGGTTCACCTGTCTTACAGTGTAGTGTTGATACTATCAATAGAATTATGAAGCAGAAAACAAAGTAGCTTAAACACACTGCATGCTATACAAGAGTTTTAAGGAGGGAAAAAAGTGTGCTGTAGAAGTGCCTTACTAGTAGCCCAAAGGATTTAAAAATGAAAGCACACAAATCTCCCATAAATACTGTCTGTCCATCTTCAGACTTCTGTATTTAAAAAGTCAATATTTAAGGGCCAGCAGATGGCATAGCGGTGAAGGTGCCAGGCTCCACATGGCCAACCATAGTTCGAGTCTTGGATGCAACGGCTTGAAAATCACTCTGGGTGCGTGTGCGTTCATACCCAAAATCCCAAGGAGAGTGAAGGAGAAGGGATTGTGGTGTGGTCACCCACCCTCAGGGGGTGATTTCTAACTTTCTGTTTCTCTATCTCTGTCTAGTGAGCACACGCACCCTATATCGGGGAGCAGGGTGTAGGACCCCTCTTATAAAGAAGTCAGCATTTAGGGACCAGCAGATGGCATGATAATTATGTCACTGGACTCCCATGTAGTCAACTGTGGTCCGAGTCCAGGACCTGATGGCTTAAACCTCATGCTGGGTTCATGTGAATGTGTGCCTAAGATCCCAACAGGAGAATGGAGGAAAAGGAACTGCAGTATGGTCATTTCCCTTGGGGATTATTTCTCACTTTCTGTCTCTGTCTCTCTAGTAAACACATGCACCCTATAGCAAAAATCTTTAAAA